ATGAATGAGTGGAAGCCCAAAATCTCTGTAAATGTTTATGAAAATTAATAAAATATAATTATAGAAAAATAGAAAAAAAAAAACAAAAACAATGTGTGTGCAGAGATGCACCTGGCAGGGTCCCAGCTTGGCCCTGCTGTTGCAGCACCTATCTAAGCTACAGAGCACCTTCTGTACCCAGTCACTTGTCCTCTGTGACTCCACTACCAGCACACAAGCATGCTGCATGCATGAGGAGGGCCCGACACAGTAGCCTTCCTTACCTGGAACTTTAGGGGCGGGCCCTCAGGATGTAGGCGGGCACTGAGGGCCTCGGCCACCAACATGCCTGAGCGACGCACGGGTGGCAGGCTGCTGTCCAGGTGGCTCTGCACCCCCACCATCATGCTGGCCAGCAGCTCTGGAAATAGTGCAGACCACTCTGAGTCCCTGGGCATTCCCACAAATGTCCCTGAACCTCTGCACGTCTCCACCACATGGCCTCAAGTCCTAGTCTGCCCCCATTGCACAGCTTAAGACTTCAGGCATCCCACATGTACCCAAGACATGGTCCCCCCCGCCCAGTGCATCTGGCCAGGCTGCCACCTCTCACCTTCCCGGATATCCTGGAGCTCAACGTCCCGCAGGAGCGTCAGGCACACGAGGATAGCCTTGCTGAGATGAAGCTGCTGCGGGAGCGGCCCATGCCTCACGGCACTGCTGCTGCCCCAGGTCTCCAGGAGCTCCCGGAGCACCTGGTGGGAGATGCCCATGTCAGGTGTGTCCCCTTTTCCTGCCTCTGCCAGAGCTGGTCCCATGTCTGGAGGCAGCTGTGTCCCTTTGTTCCGTCCTCCACCAGAAACAGACCCAGTGTCCCAGTGCCACTGGGGCCACAGTGCTGCCAAGAGACAGGGAAGGAGCAGTACCTGCACAAGCAGAGTGCGACGCTGGCTTTCGGCAGCCAAGTACCCCAGGAGGCTCTGTAGCATGGATGTCTGCAAAGAGGTAAGCCTTGTCACTAAATATCATCAGGAGCTGACAGCTGACTCCAGTGGACAGTAGGTGCCCTGGGAAAGGGCCTCTCCACACCAAAGTAGCACCCACAGGCAGGGTTGCTGTAGGCCACGCTGTGTTCACATACAGAGGGCCAAGTGGCTACTCTAAAGACACTGCCCAACTCATTCCTTTACAGTGGAATCAAGATACTGATAGTATTTCACATCCACATGGTCCCCTCACCTCATGTCCTCATAGATCCTTCACCCCTCACAGCTCCCTCACTTCATAACCTCACAAAACTCTTACCTTACTCCTCACAGCCCCTCACCTCATGTTCTGGCAAACCCCTTACCTACTCACACAGGCCCCTCATAGACCCTGTCATGTTCTCAGCCCCCACCTCAGGGAAGGACAGGTGATGGGGCCATCTCCCTGCCATGCTGTGTCTCAGCTCTCACCGAGCATCGGTGTTGTAAAAACAGGAGCTTCTGGGTCATCACAAACTGCGCCTTTTTATTCTTCATCACCAAGTTCCCCAGCAATCGTGACAGGACCTCTGGCCTGAAAGGGATTGGGGACAGTCTGGACATGGTTACCCGGACGGCATGTGCATGAGCACAGACCTGGGCTGCTGGCTCCTGGCATCTCAGCACTGAATCCGCAGGAGCTCTAGGTTCAGGCTCTGAGTAGAGGGAGTTTCTCATCACCACATGCCCTATTGTATGAAGTCCCTTGTCACTGGGCCTGTACTGCCTCAAGAGGGGTGTGGAATGCCACTGCCTTGTCTGAGGGACCCATTGCCAGCTCTATGCAGTCAAGTACTGGTGAGAATGTGGGGACAGGAAGAGCCATGGCATGCACACCTATGTTTATTTCTGTGTTGTTCACTACAGCAAAGAGGTAAAAACAATCCAAGTGCCCATCAACAAACAAATGGATAGAGGCAATGGAATACTATGCAGCACTGAAAAAACAAGGAACCCATAAAATACTATACAAAATGCATTACCCTGGAAAACATTATGCTGAGTGAAATATCTGTCATAAGAGGACACATAACTAATGCCACTGTTACAAAACAGGACTGACATGGGGGTTGAAGGGGAACTAAGAAAAGAGGAGGTAAATAATGTACACTGCATTGAAACAGCTGAGGGAAAGAACTGTTTAAAAGGAATATATGATTAGGTATTATTTGTATAATAGCCCAGAATAAGAAGTGCATACACCATAGCAAGGAGGGGGGAAACTGTGCAACAATGGAAGAATTTTTTTTAAAGAGAAAAGCAAACTGGGCTGGGGTAGGGAGGAAAATGTGCAACAAGGAAAGAATGGAAATCCAAATTCTCTGTAAACTTTTGTTAATATCTCAATAAAAAAAAAAGAGCCATGATAGCTTCAGAGCCAGGCTGGAGCGTCGCCATCACGATACACATGGCCGATTAAATAGTCACCTGACACAGCACCTCTGTGGAAGCGCCAGATGCCACTGAACAAGACACCGTGTAGACAATTACACAACAGTCATGCTCAGCCTCATACAAAGTAGGGCACACTCTCCAACCCCACCCCAGCCCAAGGGCACCCAGTGCGTGTCTCACCCAGGAGCGGCCTCCACAAGCCCGGTCAGCATGGCCTCTACAGCTCGGTCGGGCACACGCTCCACCAGGGACCAGCACACCCGCTGCCACAGCCCGTCATCCTGTGTGAGCGCTGCTAGGCGGGGCACCAACACCCCCAGGAGCTCCTCTGTGGGGACATGGGGCTTGAGCCAAGCGTGAGAGGGCACCACAGGACAGGGTCCAGGAGGGCCACAGTCCCACCTCCCAAGACCCATGGGAATGGCTGAGGGGATGGACAGGAAATACTCACTCTGTCGCCCCTGGACACAGACTTTCCCCAGCACTTGAGACACAAAGGCAACAGAGCAGTCCACACCACCTGGGACAGAGGGAACCGGTGGTGAGGGAGGATGATGCCCACCTACACGGAGGGAGAAATCTTGTTCTCAAGGCGGGAGACACTTTATCTCAAAAAGGCCAGGTCATATAAGAGGTCTGACTCATGATTCCAAGTGGTCGAATTCCAACCCAAATCTGAAAAGTGCCATGCTGTGAGGTCATACTCAAAGGGTGAGTGGAAACTTAGGAAAAAGGGGCACTGTCTGATTGGCCCAGTAGCCCCACCAGTCCTGAGAAGTTGCCTCCAATGTGACATGTGTCTGGAGAACTGTACCCATTGGTTTTCCCAAAGTTGATGTTTCTTTCAGAAGCCGATCACTAGGCCTTTGTATCATGACGCCCATCTCTCAGTTAGCAGCCTTAGCTGTCAGCCACTTACTCCACACAGCCCAGAGATTCTCCCAAGACCTGTAAGGCCCTGACAGATCAGCAGGAGGGTCACCCTGCAGGGGTGGGTGGGAGGTGCTCACCACGCAGACTATCCACCACCATGTGAAGAGTGCGGATGAGCTCCTCACCCAGCAGGGGGAAGTACCCCTGTGGCAGGAACACAGCCAGGTTCTCACGCTGCAGGCGGTTGCTCAGGTGGTCAGGAACACAGGCCACCTTGCTAAGCAGTGTCTCCTGAAGCAGGGAGGAGCCAAGCTGTGCTTGCTGCTGACACTGCACCCCAATCAGTGCCGCCATCCTGCCCCCACGCAGGAACCGCTCCAGCAACCATGCCAGCTTCATCAGACGGTAGCTAGGGCTAAGTGGACGAGAGCAGACATGTCACAGTGCAGGGACCCTAAACCCCATCCTTAGCACCCCAGCCAAAGCAACCCCGACAAGACTGCTTGTAGTCAAGTAGCCCCAAGGCCTACGGGAGCAGGTGATCCGAAGTCTTCAAACCCTGAGAACAGAAATGCTAGACAGTCTCCTCACTACCTCTCACGACTCCTCTGATCAGAAAGACAAAGACCTGGTTAGAGTACAAAGTAAAATGTGGGATAAAATGTAAAATTATTAAAAAGACTAAGCTTACTGATCTGATATATACTAGTGGAACCCCTAAGATTGTGGCCCTTAGATAAACTGAAACTGAACCCACCCCTAGGATCATCTGGCAGCCAGACAACACAGGCCTGTGAAGTGAACAATAAGGCCCATGAAGACTATGCTCCTCAGAACAATCAACCAGACCAGACCAAAAGGTTGGTAGTTCCAATCTACTAGCCACTCCTCGGAGACAGATGTGGCAGTCAGCCTCCATAAAGATGTATAACCTTGGAAATCTTATGGGTAGTTCTTGTAGGATTGCTGTGAGTTAGAACTGACCTGATGTGAGCGAGTTTGGATTCTAAGACAGTGAACGAAAGGGAAGGAACTGCTGTGACTTCACTCCAAAACATGCACAGGAGTTCATAACAGGTATAGCCCTCCCACCAGGGAATCCATCATTTCCTGCTCCATGCAAGTTGCCATGACCTCTGCTCCCCATAGACATGGAACAAGGTCTGCTGCTGACTTGGGAAGGGCCTGGGACGCACAGGGCACCTGACAAGTCCCTGGGCCAGTTAAAATCTCCTTAAATGAAAGTGTGGCTATGCTGTGCTGCCCAGGGCCAACTACCTACCTGTGGCCTGGGGAGGTGACAGTAGCTGCAAAGGTTCTATCTGGCACTAACTTTGGTACCTTAGCACGGTTCCTTTTTCCCATGAACACAGTGAGGAGGCGGCTCTGTGGCCATGAGAGAGGTGAGTGAGTAGGCAAGTGGCAGAAAAACTCTAAAACTACTGATCACGTCAATTCTGAGTCACAGTGATCCTGCATTAGATTTCAGGCTGTAAATCTTCACAGGAGAGGAGACTGCCCAGCATTCTCCAACAGAGTAGCTGGTGGATTTGAACTGACTTTTCAGCAGCAGCCCAACGTATAACCCACTGAGTCACCAGGAATCCTCTGACACAGCAGATCAGATCCACTACCAAGAAAACCACCACATCCCTCCCTGTTTCCAGAAGTCTCTGTCTTCCTTAGCATCTAAGAGATACTAGATGCTTAGAATTTAAGCAGCCAACTAGATCACAATCACTCGTCTACTGTCCTGCTCAGCAGTCAGGTGCCCTGGAATTGCCATGCTACCCTGCTTACCCAGTAGTGCTCTCAATGGCCTCCATTAGCACCAGGAAGGCCTGGTCAGGCGGGCCCTCCAGGAAAAAGCTGGCCCACAACTCTTCCAGTTGCCCACTTGGGAGCAGTTCCAGCCAATCAGGGCTCAGTTTGCTGACCAGGCATCTGAGGAGAGTGGAGAAGTGGAGCCTGGCAAACTCCTCCCTTTCCTTAGGGAGGGCTGACCCTTCTCCTGCATCACTGAAGTAGCGCTTCAAGGACCCCAGAGTGGAGACAATGCAGCTGCCATCTTCAGAAGATGAGAGGATATGGATGACATCTCGGATAGCGAGGTGGACCTCAGAGGGCGCCGGTTCCATCTGGAGGGCCTAGACATCACAGCAGAGCAAGTGAGGAGCTGAGAAGCTCAGTATCAACTCCAGCTTCAGTGTGGGGGATGGACAGGGACTTTTCCCCACGACCTCAGAACGTCCTCCTTCTGATCTAATTATGCTCCCAAGGACCCCATTTCCCTGACCCCAAGATCAACCTGTCCTCCATTCCTTCCTTTCAAACCCCAGCCACCCTGCCCCCCATAATTAAATTCATTCCCACTCATACCCACGCTAGAATGACCATCTTTATCCTGTGGAGTGACTAGTGAATTTGAATTGCCAACATTTCAGTCAGCAGCCCAACTGAAGCTCCATTCCCTTCCAACATTTGACAATATTTCCACTAAGGGTCTAATTCCCAGTGTGAGGCTGTTAATGGATCTTCCCCAGGAGGAGCTCTTATCCTGGGTGACCAGTCCCCAGAGAATTCCTGGAGTTGCACGGGGGCATTTTTAAGTTGTCCTGATAGGGCGATGTACAAAGCATTAGTTTGTTAACCTAAAGATCTGTAATTGCTAAGAGCCAGGAAGGAAGATTTTAGTCGTGGAAACCCTATGAGGCTGTTCTGCTCTGTCCTATAGGAAAAGTACAAATAGGTTGCACAGCAGCAGGGTAGGAAGACACTGAGTTACCATGATTTGGGTGGAGGCGTTACTGGCATCCAGCAAGCAGTGGTCTAGGTTCACTATGGTGCCTGCAGTGGACAGGACTAGACCCAACACTGAGAGCAATGGGACCCCAAACGACAAAGGTACCAAGACTCGCAAACCAGAGACCTAGAAGAACTGAAACTCCCAGTGCACAGGTCTGTGGCTTACAGAAATCGCCACCCACCGCGAAGGATGTGTGCTTGCTTATATAGTTTTGGTCTCTCCATGAAATAGAGTTGGATAAGTAGAGCTCGTGTAGACACCAGGGGAATTAATGTCCCCACTAGCCTGCAGCCCCCCTCACCCAGACAGTCCAAGCAGTCTTCCCAAATGCAGCTCCCAGGCGGTTCAAGAAACTCTGACCGACAACGTGGATGGGCAACAGGGAACCGGGAACTACACCTCCCCGCCGCGAGCCGAGGAGACTGAAAATGCCGCCGTGCAAGCTCCAGCCCGATCCCGCACGACCGCCGCCGATTCGGCACAGCTGCTGTGGCTCGTCCCTACTCTGCTTGGGGGACTGAATACAGAATGCTGCCGCTTGCTTACGAATTCTCTGGGCACAGGAAAAGATAACCTTTTTTTTAATCATTTGGGGCTGGGCTCCTCAAGAAGGTTGTGACGAATCTGTCAAGAAATCTGGGAACCAGAAGAGGGCACAGTCGCATAGACACAGTCGCAATTACGCCTGCGCAGATGGTGGGCAGGCACAGATTAGGCGTAACTTCGTTGGGCGTGACCTGCGTGGGCGGGGCCGGATGTGCGTGGCTGCGCGTTGCTCCTTTGATCCCCAAGTGATGGCTGTAGTTTTAACTAGGCAGACCAGCTACCACGTGACTGGACTCACTGACAGAGTAGAACCATCTAGGCCCACTCTTTGCCCACAGTAGGGAGATTCATGGAGGATTTTAATGATGCAGTGCTTCAAGAACTTGGAAAAGTGGGCTGTTCGAGACTACTCGCCAATTCACTAGCTGCTCCTAGGGATAAAGATTGACTGTTTCTGTTTTGTGCCACTGAGTCAGAAGTACCCATCTGCCTCCAGCGGAGCAGCTGGTGGATTTGAACCACGTGACTTTGGAATTGCAGCGCAGCTTCCTACAACTAGTCCACCAGAGCTTCCTAAACCAAGAGACACTTCGGAAACTCTATGGAGGTTTAGCAATGTTATACTTGTGATTCAGCAGCAATGAGAGACAGAGCCCTTGTATGGGAGAAAGTTCCTTCAGTCGACTTTTGTAAACTTTGAGCTCTATGGGTAGTTCTGTTCTGTCCTACAGGGTCACCATAAACCCAAATCAACACGATAACAGTGATTTTTTTTTTTTTGTAGTCTTCATAAGAGACACAAACGCAGGTTATACACATGGACTTCACCTGATGGTATGCATAGGAATCAGATCGACTACATCTGTGGAAGGAACCGCTGG